GGCGTTCGGTTCAATACGAGGGGCCGCCTGGTCAATCCAGGACCGCCCACCTCCGGAAGTGGTGCGTGGCTGGCATAACGTGTGAAATCAGCTAGGTTGATTGCCGTATCAACCGATAGAACGACTGACATCTCCAGAAAACTTGTTTGTACGTGCCTCTTTCCCCAAGCCAGCCTCCTTCACTGCTAGTGGGAAAGAGGGTTTTGTTAACGGCCTTGTCGACGGTTTTTCTCAGTTTTTTCTCCACTGTCGTTCCACTTCGCATCTCTATACTCAGTTTCAATCGCCATAATACCCCCTTATTGAGCCCGACTTTTGCCTTTGAAGTGTATTAAATGGTGGTAAGAAGCAATCGAAATCGAAGAGCAGGCTTAATTCAATTAAGCTAAACGAAAGAGAAAGCAAACTGTAGAAGAATCTGTGAACCTTTACGAGTTCACAAAACAATAAAATTTAACTTTATTGTTTCGTGTACTCGTAAGGCTCACAGATTTCCCCTAAATTTCGAATGAATTTCAATTCCCGAGTGCGAGGATGATATCCATTGGTAACACTATCGTCGTTTACGGTATTGCTGATGAAACAAGTTGGTACAGTTATGGCAAACTAGGCACTCGAGGAAAACGGTAGCGGCTTCGGAAATTGCTCCCACCCTTACACCGTGACGTCGCGATGATGTCACTAGCACGCGCTAGCGTCCGCGTATGTGGTTAGCTCTTTCCTCCCTCTTTCTTTTCCTCAAATATCCGTCGCATAACAGGATTGATAGAACGTTGGATAGGGAATGACGTGATAGCCATGTCATGGTGCAGGTTTTCGAGAATTGTGAAAAAGTTCATATCATATACGGGGGGGGGGGCAAAAAAAGACAAAACATTTGCCAGGTCGCTATCGGCCTTTTTTTCCTTGCGCAGAATATTGGACCGTTTGAAGGGGAAGTTCCTCCGAAAAATTTTGCCCTAATGTTCCTCTATAGGTACAACGCAGGCCCTCCTTCACTACCCTCACCGTCTTCAATATGACGCCGCTCACGGGAGGCCTACAGTAACTGCTTCAGCCTGAAGCTCTTACATAATTTCTTGGATCGATTCAACGTGGGATAGTTTCCTAAGGGACATTAGCTCTAACTATGCAAACCCCTCGGAACCCGCCCTTCGGAACCCGTCGTAACGGTACACGATCAGTTGAGAGCCCCATTGAGCTCGCCCAGAGCACCATGTTTTTCGGGCCGCGGAACTTTCTGATACCTCACGTGAATGGCCAGCTATAGATTTTTCAGTGAAGCACCGTGCTCTTCATATTCAGAATCATTCGTTTTAATTGAGGCAAAAGTGCGATTTGAATCATTGTATTGGAGTTAAAATGTCTAAATTTTAGAAAGAGTGTTCTGCTGTACGGTACAGCGTCCTTTTTTATTGCCCCCACCTGTATACTCGGCTATGCACTCATCAGTGTCATCAAAATACGAGATCCGCTATGTCTCACATTCTTATGGTTAGCTCGAAAAATGTCTTCAACTGTTTGAATGCGATGCGGCATCGATGCCCTCGCAACTGGAGCCTTCGTACTTCACGCTGAGTGATATAGCAAATTTACGAACAGAATTTCACAGTTCAGATCGTCATCGAGGTAAAGAGAGGGGTTTGTTATGATGACACCATTCGCCTAAACCATTCAGCGCCGTTCTCGACTAAAACATGCATTGACAGCGAGAACACAAGTGCAACTCGGCTATAATGGCATCGATGTTTCAATATCAACATATCGCAAGTGGATGGATGCCTATGGCCGATTTTGGCAGCAGTGATGTTCATGCAGAACTGCTGGTGGGAGTCAAGGTATGCCCACGGATCACATTGGTGTGGCTCTTGCACACGAATGCGAATGTATTGGTGCGAAATGGGCCGGCAGTAAGAAAAAAGGAAAAGAATCCGTCAAAAACGCTTAGGTTAAGGGCTCACTCACCTTCCTAATCGGCTGTGCTAAGGGAATGAGAGACTAAGCGCGGAGAGGAGAGTATGAGGCGAGAGAGCGCTACAGATGAGAGAGCGCCAGACAACAGCCTGATAAAAAAAATCTGCAGCTTCAGCAGCTTACTTTGCAAGGCCCAAGCGCTCTTGTCGGTTGGTTTCCGTGCACGGGAACGCCACATTTGTGATTGTCCTCTAGGGGTCTATACTACAGACCGAAGGAAAGCGTTCACACGACTCTGCCTGGGTTGTGCCTTAAAGGAATCTTCCACGGAAAACATCGCCTCCATTCCCACAAAAAACGATACCTTAGGCCCCTTGCCTCATGAAGATAGCAAAAAGAACGGAACATAGGCGATGGTTTTGATAATAATTATGATAACCAGTTCGACTATGAAAATTTTGAATTCCCGCTGTAAAACTTCCACAACTGTTAGCGGCGTGGAGTCAACACGTGCAAACGTGTCAAAAGCGTGAACGTGAACTGGATTCATGTTGGGCCCTTCCCATAAACTGACACGTGGATCCGCACCTGCCACGCACTTCGTCACAGAAGCACTTCCGGTCCCGCCTACTGGTCCAATCCGGTCCCACAGATGGGTCTTTCCAGAGGCTGTTTCTCTTGGGGGTTTCATCATTTTCGCTCTGAACTTTGCATATGGTCTTCAATGACCATGCCCAACACCTGTACACAAGGAAAGGACAGCCTTTCCGTGGAAGATTCCTTTAACGCTTTAACCAGGGACGAACATCACTGAATGCTAGAAATACGTGTGCCTTGGTCAACATGAAGATCTAGCAGCAGCGTTAAGCAGGAGGAAGCAAGCGGCATGGGCAGCGTGCAACATCTGAGCAAGGTTCTCTTCCTAGGTGAGAATTTTTTTTTGGGGAGAGCCTAAACGTTTCACTGCTTACAAGCTTAAAGAAGTTCCACGAGCTTCAAAAGAATTAGGAATTTTTATGCCTCGAATCCAGTACTTTGCCGCCTTCTCTTTTGGGAACTTTTTCTTTGAAAAAGTTTATGTATCATTTCTCGTCGGTAGAGTGGGACTCCAAATAAGACGGTTGTGTGGAGCACCAACATAGCTCAAGGGGTACAAATATACTTTACATGAGTGAGTCACCCTGTCATGAAGTCTCTAGCATGGAAGCAACCCTTTTGACCCGCTAGAGCCAGTGCTGTGCAGCGCTTTTATTGATGCATTCTGAGTCCATTCTGTAATTGCGACAGTGTCCGCAGCACTAAGTACAGATTTCAAACTTGCACAGAAAAAATTCGTCGCCGGCTGTCGTTACACCTTCAGTGCATACGAAAATAGGTTAGGCAAAGTCAGGCTCGTGTTTGGGCATTATGGCGCCTGAAATTGAGTGTAGAGATGGGAGGTGGAACGACAGTGAAGAAAAAACGCAAAGAAACCGTCGACAAGACCGAAATCGAAACCCCTTCCTTTCTAGCAGTGAAGGAGGCTTGCTCGGGGAGAGAGCACGTCCAAACGAGTTTTCCGGATATGCCAGGCACGTTCATGCGTGCTTGATACGGAATCAACCTAAGCTGATCACGATTAGGCAGACGCCCATCCGGGGCGGGACCAGCTGATGTAACAAACCCATCGCTATAAGTTGTAGGCCAGAAACCTTGACGGCGCGCAATCTCGAGTCAGGAGTGCGGCAACACCCCTCTGAGCGCATTCCTGGAAATTTTAGTGATGGAAAGGCCTTCTATGGTTACCTAATCCTGACTCGTGGCTTTAAGAGTCAAGTGTGAGCATTGTTTGGAGGTACTCAAGGAAAAGACACCAGTAGTAGGATCGCTGATGAACATGTAGATCTTAGATGGTTTCTTGCAGTGAATATCTCAATACATGACATTTTTACCACACTACTGTACGAATGCCCTTATTATTTCTTCGATACACAATACGGTTTACTGAACGAAATGGAGAAGCGAAATCACGATGTAGGATTAGATGGGGAGCGAACATTAACCGAGACGGTGGCCTGGATAGCGATCTTCGTAGGACACTGTGACGTAATTATATTTGGCGTGACGATCGCATTCATAAATGTTATCCTGATATGCACAAAATCATGCCATTGCCATTATAGCGAATGAAAGTGCAGAACTACTGTTCAAAAGTGAACAACAACTGACAGTAGCCTTCCTCTTTGTCGTGGGAGACGTTTTCCAGTTATCAGGTTGGAAAGAAAGTCCTGCAACACTTTTTCAAATTTTTGATTTTAATTTTATCTTTTTTGTTTACAACTCCTGACCGGTCTTATATCTACCATGAGTGTCCACCACTTGTCTCCAACGCTCAGAAAATTTCTTGATGCTCCTTTGCCAAAACCCAGCGGAGTGCGGGTCAAGAAAGGAGGCGACCTCACTTTCGAGTTGGAGTTGATCGTCTAATTATTTCGTCATCAAGATGATGATTTAAGGTCAGGATAGGTAGTATTTTACAGCTCGATCCACGGGGAATACGCTAAGAGAGGTAAGAAATCTTGACCGCATCTCCAGAATGCGTGGTGAACTATCGGAATCATGGCGATTGAACAAAGCCATGAGAGGAAGAATAGGTGTCGCGGTACGGGGGGCCCTTGAGCTGCTGGCAGTTCTGAAAGTTCGCAGCTAGACCTCGAACTAGTGGTGTGTGGACTGTCCGTAACAAAGAGAATTTGTAGTTGAGTTCCGTAGAGCCCTCCCTGTATGGAGGGTGAGGAGACGTTGGCTGGCTTTATAAAATATCAAAAGATCGAAAGCGCTGGTAAGGTGAAACACGCTGTAGCGGTGAACGACATGCCTATTGAAGCTATTGCAGATAGTGTGGTCGTTGACACGAATCCATAGTTTTGTAGACATTTGTACTAGACAGTGACTCGGAGTACGGATTTGCTAGTGGTCGAGATTTTTTGAATTTTCTTGGATAACTACTGACTGCAGAACTTATATCCACCTCGTGGATTGAAGGCAAGATTCAGGATTAAATTATGAGGTAATTCCACTCAAATGTGAAAGTAGGGGTAGGAAGTGGACCGCCAGTGGAGAAAAAAGAAAAAATCGTGAAATGCACAGGAAATACGAGCCTTTTGCTCTACGCTGCGGAGAAGTTCAAAAGGCCGGCAGGGAGATGAGAGATAATGTGAGCGCGGAGAGCGCTAGAGAAGTACGAGTAGAGAGAGCATAGCAGATCAAGTTAGCGACGCAGACAAGATATCGAGCGGTGGGCGGAGCGTGTCGCAACAGGTGGAGCGTGTCAAAGTTCTTAGCGCCTAGCGTCTAAATAACGCTTTTCGAAGTAGGGAAGTGACGCACCTCTACACTTGCGTATCTAGCGCTTCTAGCCCACCCGTAAAGGCTCATTAAGTGGGGTCTGAGCCTGATACTTTGCCTTTAAAGCCCCGAGAATGTTTTACCAATTTGTTAGGTTGTAAATGTCACCAAGAAAAAAAAAAAGAAAATTTCAGAAAGAGTGTTGCAGAGCTTTCTTTCCAACTAATACATGCACTCTCACTCCATGAACGTTCGGAGATACATCCCACAACCAGGGTCCAACCGTCGTGCGAGATTAAAGCTTTCGTGATCAACCCTTTTAGGAAGAGGCGGCGCGTTCTAGTTCCTCGTAAATTCTTAAGGTGGCCTTGAATGCGATTTGGTTTGGAAAACGACTCGACGGAGGTCAGCGATGTGAGCTGTTTTTATCTGATGAAAAAGTGGTACCAAATAATCGTTCTCGGAGAGGATGTGCCAGATAAAACGGGAAAGCCTTTCACAGTGGTGAATGCAAGTGCGTTCCAGATTGCTGCCGGTTGCATGATCATTAGCAGGTTAGAATATCGGGTCGAGGAATTCCTCTGCAGGGGTCGTACTCTTGAGGGTCAGTAACAGCAGTGGTATCGTGGTGCAGATAGGTAAGAGGGTATAGCGCAGCAGAAAATGAAAATATCTGAAAAAAAAACATGATATTAAATTTTCTTTGCAGGTTCAGTCGCTCCATTCCTCCACCTTCATGAGAAGGGCGTATTTGAAGGCAGTACAAAGAATGAAAGTGCATCCCCGCAAAGAAGAGTGCCACATGTGCGCACGCGCTGCAAAGGCACCTCCTCTGCCTATCGCTCGCTCCTTCTCCCTTAATACCTCGCTGAGAATGACACTGTTGTTAGGGACCCTGTCGCAAAAACGACAACCGTGAAGGAAAAGCCCTGGGCAAATGAAGTTGTTCTTCAGGTTGTAGGAGTTACGAAATGCATTTACTACAATGCAGCTTCTGTCAACTGGTCATGATCATATGACACCTTCGAATCGATGCGAGTGAGCGGTCGAGCATGGCCGATTCAGCATTCGATGATGACGATTGCCCTTTTCCGGATCGCAGATGTTGCGGATGATTTTATAGACCCTTTTTGAGGCGTTCATTCAACAATTACATTTGCAATGGTGAAGAAGAGAGCGGATTTTCAGTTGGGCCGGATCCGTCCTCGATACATACTCGACGCAGATATCTTCTCAACTAGGAATGTAGAAGAAAGCTAAGAAGACCATCAGAAAGCGCAAACCTTCCGCTTTCCAAAACTATCTTCACTTTTTCAGGATCTCACGTTTTAAGAGAGATATTGCTCTTGAAGTGGCAAAAACTCGCGTGAAAATTTCAGCGTCTCGACGTTTACTCGACGAAATTTGAGAGACCCTATCTTTCTGCATGGAAGGCTTTCAGAGCAATTTCAATACTTCTTGGAAACGCGAAATCCAGCTCTATCTAACCCTACCTCAAACTGCTTCAAAGGTTATGAAATGGAGGAATGCAACCTTTTCATCGAGGGTGTAGATTTCGACGTTTTTTTTGGGATTTCAGCAAATCTGACCCAGTGACAATCGCGCCGCAGCTGCCGTTGAATCGGCCGTTGATTGATACACTCGGCTGTTTCGATATACTCAAGCAGGAATTAAGATTAAATCGCAACCCCGTGCCTTCAGGATTTCTGTGCATTTCTGAACGAACCTGACTTTGAGGTCACACAAAGTTAATGCCTCTTTCCTCGAGTCGATTCAGGGAATACACAAAAGTGTGCAGCGATGAAAGACGGTGCATGCATGAAGAGCGTCCATAACATTATTTTGCAGAATTTTTTTTTTTGATTTGTTTTGCAGGATTTATTTTGAATTGAATTGAATTAATTTGCTGTTTTGGGGGGTCGTGCCAGGATCTCGATTTCGGGGGGGGGGGGTCGTACCTCTGCGACCACGTACTCGACACGATTTTCACCCTGGTATTAGACTGTTTTGATTATTCCTCACTTTCTCGTATCCATAAAATCTACGAAAATCAGCTTGTAGCTAGATCGAGTGTTGAGCAGTCTCCTTTCCTAAAAGGACAAATAATAGGACAATCGGAAAGTCAATCGCTTTTCAGGATTCGTCATGTATTCGACTGTTGTTGAAGGGATCCTTATATGTGTCAGTTGTGATCACTAGAGACAACGTACAAAGTTTCACGCACAAAGATTCAGTTTCCGAAGAGAAACAAACTTACACCACACTCTATGGACAGTCGAAGGTAGGTGCGCGGAGCCAAAGGCGGGCATGGAAGAAGTGCCTTGGGCGGCTACGTATCAGGCGACGCAATGAAAGAATCGGGTTAAAGCGTTCGATTTTGGAGAATAGAGACAAAACGATCGATAGAATAGGATGCAGTAGAAGTGTGAGATGTTAGCGGAAGTCAAAAGTTTAGAAATAGTTTCTAGTGACAGCACTCTGAACCCAATGGATACGTTCCCTCCGCCAGCATTTGTGACAGATGCCCTACGGGAATTGGAACTCCCAGTGATTTCTCAAATTCAAGCCAGTGAATGGGTGATATATAATCACGATTTTCCGATGAGAATTCCTCAAAGGATCATAGCTGAATCTGATTTGATCCATGCAACGTAGGGAGCAGACGTGGTACCAGACCGTGTTTTCATGCTCCCGACGAGGCTAACCTCAAACTCGACCCTGGAGCAGGGTCAACTCTACCGTTGGTACTTTTCGGAAACATTTCATGACCCCCCTTCATACGCTATTTGATACGACCCCCCCCTGCATGTGATACTTGTGTACAGACAATGTATGCCAGCCATGTCACACGTTTGAATGTGCTGTTGGCGCCACCAAGGTCCGACAATGGGGCGCGCTGACCGTAAGTAGGCGACGAACGGGGATACTGAATTTCAGACGAATTTTTCTTTGCATAATTTCAGGTACTTCGGAAGATGGAGGTGGATTTTGGATCACGAGGCTCAGCCTTTCTAAGTAAAGCTCATTTGTTCTCAAACAATTTGAAATGAATAAGTTATTAAGCAAGAAATAAAATTGCACTACAATTTTTACCTTCCTCTTTCTAGGGCTATAACTTCCTTCATATTCAAGCTTTTGCGCCGAAGTGATTTGATTTGAAAAATTCAAATTATTTCTCTCCAATCATGGCTAAATTTTCTTCCTAATTTAATAAAAATTTAGCACGTTGGAACTTTTTCTGTGCAAATGCGACTTTTCAACCTTTAAACGATCATAACTTCCTTCAAACTCATTCATTTGGGAAGCTGAACACGGTATGAGAAACTACAGGATTCAAGCTTTCTAAAAAGTACCCAAGTTTCTGAAAAGTCAGTAGTTCAAAAATTAGTCCCGTTGCGACTTTTTTGGAGGGGCATTCTTCAAGCCATTTTCTTGAAAACGCGGGTTTTTTTCACTGGCCAGGGAAAGCAATTTCGTGTTGAACATAGGATGTGTTAGAAAGCTTCGAGCATGCGCTTGCACTGACATCCCCTGCCTTGGTGTGCGCCACGCCTCGGCCGCGCTTCTGATTCGCTGATTCGCATTGGCTTTTCATTCGTATGGGTCATTTGAAACCATTTGGAAAATCAAATTGGGAACCACGGATCTTGAGGATGCTCTTGGTATCAAGGAATTACTAGTGAAGCAGAGGTGATGGGTGAAACTCCAGTTCGGGGGGGGGGCACTCCATTTTTTTTCCAATACTCAAGATAAGGATTAGAGGGCTCACGACACGTAATCGACTCATTTAAAGTAGACTTCTGATAAATATTGGTGTAATGGGTGAAACCCTGAAACGTTTTCACATTTCCGCCTGCCATGACCCAAGGGAACGGTCCTGGACCAGGAGAAAGGACACCTCCGCAAAGGGCTAAGGGTGCAGGAGCTCCAGGGTGGATCACCTGTGCAGAAAAGTGGATGGGATGTGGGCAGGTAGTGTGGAATGTAGGACATCCACCGGTCCTTATCAAAAGTACGCTCGAAATGAGTCGTTCACTTATTATCTTATCCGTAGTGTTCGATAGCCCAAAGAACTGCTCTCTAGTACTACGGATAAGATAGCAATGGAGTGGCCCCCCCGAACTGGAGTTTCACCCGTAATAACTTCGTATAGCATTGCCATGCAGGCATACTACGTTCATATGTGGTTCGTGGCTGGATACGGTCATGGTGCGGAGCACTAGCGCAAGTTAGGAAAGTGAAGTGATGATTGGTTGTTATTTATATTATGCATTCAGGTTATTTATTCCTACTACCTAGCGTTGGATTGTAAAATAAAACAGTAATAAAACGAAGTAATAAAATGATTCTGACAGCAGTAAGTAAACAAAAAATCCATATATATTTGTATGTAAGGTTCCATCGAAAATAACTGGAGACCTGTTTTAATGGCAGTCAAAGAACGCCTATGTCTATTTTTCCTTCACAACAGTCATTCGAGTTCTCTTCTTTCTAGGCTCTCGTTTCTTTCCCGTGGTCTGAACGTATTCGTCCTTTTCAGCCGTTTCTTGGTTCCCTGTTACGGTAACGTTCCCGCCCATACATTTCCAGTAGTACTTATTTCTCTCCAATCGTCTTTTTTTTTTGCATCTTAAACACGTTGTACAGGAATCAGAAAGAAGTCCTCATGATCTGTTCTCCAAAGCGAGCCCAAAGAAATTTTCCACCCAACTACAAGGGAATAGAAAGGAACGAACTATCTCGCAAAGGCTCCAAACCATTGGCTGGATACGGTATCTCTCGCGTAAACTGCGGTGGCCGCAATTGCAGAGAAGGCCTGGATTGCTTCGAATTCTTTTTTAGTAAGGTAAACATCGCATATAACTGCCCTGCTTTGTTCCATTATTCTTGTACTCTGATAACAACTTGAATAAGTTGTTTATCGAGGCTTCAGGTCAAATTTGGCCCAAAATGACCTGGTTCTGGGATTGTTTGTATGTGTTTTACCGATGTCCATGGGCTCTCTTTCTCGTACAAGTTCTATGCTCCTGGAAATTCACTGTTCTGCTGTGTCATTTCTTATCGCAACTAATGGAATGTTGCATGTTTGCACCGTTGTTGGGACGGGTGGTAGAGATGAAGCCCAAATTTTGGGCTGTTATCTTATCAAAAAGTAATCGATAAAAGGATATTTGAATGAAGTTATTTGCTGCTCGAATATGCGACTGCCGATTTTAGGGTATTTGGACGCCCTCATGATGTGGCTGAGGGTAGTTTCCTTGGTGCTTCTGGCCGGTGTGACAGCTGTGAAGCGTGAAGATTTCAAGACTTGTGAACAATCGGGATTCTGTAAGCGGCAACGAACTGTCAAGGTCAGTTCTGAAGTTTTGGTTTTTAGGGGTCTCGGGGCATCAGGGGCATTGTGGCGTTAGTAAATGGGTGCCCCCACCACCCTAGACTGCCTTCACTCCCCCTGGCTCACAGGGTCCCGTACTTCGAGAAAAGGTGCGCCAGGGGGAGTGTAGGCAGTCTAGGGGGTGGGGGTGAGGGCAGCCACTTGATGCCTCCCCTTACTGGATGAGACCCTATTTATTTATTTATTTATTTATTTATTTATTTATTTCGTATAACTTCGTATAATGTCTTCGGCTGATTGAGGTAAAATGCTAAAGAGGGGATCGGCACGTTGTTACGCGTCATAGGCGCCACTTTGATCGTCAATCTTTCATGATGCGCGTATCGTTTCGTTGATTGACAGAGCGTTCACAGCACATTCCCGCTGCCAAGTGGATATGTAAAAAATGTAAAAGTCCTGACCAAAGGTGAGGCGGTCACCTGGCTCATTCGGCTTTACGGACTTCTTGAACTTTCGGCACTATTGCACGACTACAACCCCACTGGGGGCAGAGATGGGTCAAAAAATAATTTTCGCTGAAAGCTATGGGGGCTATCGAGGGCCAAATTGGCGCCAGCGTTCGCTACAACTGATTTATTCACAATTCATGTAATTCTCTATAGGGTTAATTTGCGGGCCCTGATCACAAAATATGCACTGTTCCACAGTTTTAACGCTCGCTGAGCTTTAAACGCGGGCCAGAGGAAAGGGTTGAGACTTACGAGTTGGAAACACGCACGTGCTGGCAAAGTTGGAAGTGGGTTGCGACCACAAGTGGAGTGGCACTGGCCCTCATTTGGAGCTCTTAATATTCAGCTAGTCTGATTGCGATCGATGGAGTGCGAGGGCGCAGACGAGCAGGAAATAGGCGCCGAATAGCGCTAACAACAAAAACGAATGTCATATTAGTAATCAGGACCCCAAATAACCCCTACACAGAAGTTTGCAGCGAATTTAGTGGGAATCAGTCGTGGCGCCACCTGGCGCCAAATGGCGCAAATTGGCGCCAGCGCCAAAAATGAATATCATATTCGTGATCAGAGCCCTCGATAACCCCCATAGGCCAAATTTCAGCGAAAATTATTTTTTGACCCATCTCACCCCTACTGGGGTTGTAATAGTGCAATAGTGCCGAACTTTCTTCTATGGTCTTGCCACGAATGGCGGAGGGCACAGACAATAAGAGAACGGCGCTTGATGCGGTTCCAAATTTTAATAAGGAAGGAGGTGAGAGCCTAGGACTAAGCCTTGTAGGAGGGAGGGACTCCGAGGTGGGTGAGCCAACTACAGTGTGGCAAAAGTTTGAATGTGTGAGATCACAATGGTCATGAGCCGCTGATAAGGCGAGAGAGCGCAGACGAAAGCATCGAGCTGAGGCGGCTTAAAGGATCCGAGTTCAAATAGTCCGTCGACCGACCCATTCGCCTGTGCTGATTCTATGACTTCTGGGGTTGAAGTTGTACTTATTTAAATGCTATTTCTAGAAATTGGGAGGGGAATTTTCGGTGCAATTGAGATTTTTTCGTAACAGTCAGAGAACATTTCATTTGCAGTTTTGGGCAGCAATTTTGACATTTCAGCAACGGTCCCTGCCCCTTCCCTTAACAGCGGGCTTTTGAAGTTTTGGTGAAGGCTGTGCTATGACTATCTCCACAACAATATCCAAACCATCCAAGTGGCGTGGGTGGGAGAGGGTGGTATATCAGGGAATCGTCCAGGAGCCACGGTTGGGTAGTGCTTCCCGTCACTCTCTTCAAGGGTTTACATACTGTACTATCACCGCTCTTCGGCTGTTTTACAAATTCGGTGATATGGAAATGGAAGGTGATGAAGGTGTATGAAGTTTTTTACTGGTAACTTGCATTAATGGGCATTTTTCTTCCAATTCAATTAAATGTACTGGGCCTTGATAGTTATATCAGCTTCATCTCTTCCGTTGTGAGATTTCTGACTTCCATGCTTACCTCTGCACCATTTGGCGAGGTCCTCTCTAAATAGGACTCTCTCGATTGAGCACCGTAACATATACATATAATTTGATTAGGACAGCGGAACATTTTCTCACGAAAGGAGAACTATTTTTCTTTGCCTATTCCTCGAAATGATGAGCAGAAGTTTGCAATTTGTTCTGGATCGTCATTTTTGATTACATAGAAAGCATTTCCTAGTTCTTCAAATGCATTGAATAACTTTCAGGACACCGGTTACGAAGTGCTTCCAGAAACAGTGAAGCACTTTGATGATTACTTAGGTGCAGTGCTACGGAATGCAAACAACCAACTCGCTTTCCGGTTATGGGGTCTCAAGGTCCGTTTACTGGGGACTGATTTTGCATAATTTTTCATTCCATTTTTCTGTAAATGCTCTTAAGTGTTGTCATTACCAGGATTCAACTGTTAAAATTCGGGTGGATGAAACTGATACTGCAATCAGGAAACGATTCTACCCAGAAATGGCCCTCAGTGGTCAACCCGAGAAGGTACCTTTGTTACCAGATTGATTTGTGTATTTTCCTAGTTTTTATGTTTTAGTTGCCATTTTCTGCTGTTGATGTTAAATCAGACTCCGTTCATATTACCACTGGCGACAAGAAGTTGAAGGTTCTTAGGTTTTGTTTTTTTTTATTTTTTGTCGTGAATTTATTTGAATTCTACTACTACTTGTTTGAGGTCGTTGTAACGTTCAAACCCTTCGTTGTGGAAATTTACAATGAAAAGTCAGAGCTCATCGCTCAAGTGAATCGCGATGGGAAACTGATGGTGAGACTTTTCCACGGGTTGGATGCGATTCTCAGCTCATTACGATTCATCTAGGTGGAGGAGTATCGTAAACAAGAGGAAGGAAAGGAGTACCCCGAGGATTTCTGGCAAGAAACTTTCAAATCTCACACCGATTCGAAACCTTTTGGCTCCAGTAGTGTTGGGGTGTGTGAGTTTTGCTTTAGTTGAAACTTTTTGAGGTTCTTTTTTCTCTCTTTCAGGTTGACATCTCTTTCGTTGGTTTCCGCAACGCATACGGCTTACCGGAGCATGCGGATTCATTTTCGTTGAAATCCACTGCAGGCAACACAGACCCCTTCAGGTTCAACTTCTTGTAGCTCTGACAATGATTGCCCTATTGTCCTCTGATTGTTCTTTGTTTGTACAGGTTATACAATCTTGATGTGTTCGAATATGAGCTCAACAATCCAATGTCGCTTTATGTTGCTGTGCCGTACATTGTGGCTCACAAAAAGAACGCAACAGTTGGAGCTCTTTGGTGGGTTTTTGGACGGTTATTTCTCCAATTTTACTTTTCCATCGCTATACCGATTGTCTGGTTCTCTCAATATTTGTTCTCTCTCGCTTATCAGATGCTGTCAAATTTCTTATCACCTTTCTTCTTGAGAGAGCTGTCGAGCTCTCAGCAAGTGTAGTTCTGTCGAGAATATTGATTTTGAAAGCATTAATTTATGGAGTGTCAGAGCGACATTTTGAGAACGCAAGAAAGCACAACAATTCAAAGGATGGGGTGAAAATACACTGGTGTGCAAAACTTAAGGACGAGCCTAAATTTTCCGTGACGTATTACTGCCGAGTAAAACAGCTCTATGGAACCTAACCACACATATAAGGAACTGTTCCAGTATAGTACAAAAGCAAATAATAGGAACCGTTAAAAGGTCCACAAAGCTATAAATAAGTTAGGTTACTTCATCTATATCGTCCTCAAGTTTTGCACACCAGTATATGTTCAGGAATAGAGAAAATATGGCGAGCTCATAACGCCAACTGTAATTGTTGAAGAAACTGCCGCGTTGGAAAGCATTCAAAACCCGATGTATTAAGATGTAAAAGATAGAAAGGGTTTGAGATGAGGAAGATACCGAACTCATATTTTGCTCAGATCCCACTATGTTGGTTTATCCCTCCTTTCTTTCGTAATACAGGGTGGGCCAAAATTATGCGTACAGCGTGCGCGCGGTCATATCCACTTCTGTCGTTCCATTTCCGTCTACTTTCTGTGCAATATTTAGTAGGGTGCAGTGAAAGTTTCACCTATTCAATTCAAATATCACGCAGTTTTCAAAATTAGTGAAGCAACCACATCACGGTACGTCAATCCTCATTGAACTCACTAGGGGGTTGTGGCACGCTACATCTAGCGCAGTTCAACGTATCAGGGAAGCTCTTATGGGCAACAGTTCAACTCTTCAATAAGTTTGGAACCACCACAGATGGAAAATTCGGAGACTCGAAAGTTACAGTTACCACCAGGACAATTATCAGATGCAGAAACTCGCCTTCCCTTGTCGACTTTCGTACTCCGAAAATGAAAAAATTTGATGTAAAAGTAGACACCAACGACCTACTCTGTAGATAGAAAGCACCTCAATTCAGTGTACTTTGGGACTTTCACAGGGCACAGCACTCAATGATAAAGCAGAAATCCTCCAATAAGCAATTTTTGGAGTTCACTGCTTCGAAGAATTGGTAAATAAAAACTGTCTACTTAACTCTAGATATCCTGTACATTACACCCTAGAGGCTAGCGCAAATCAAAATCGCAAAAAACTTCGGTCCCTTGAAGAAGTTAAAGCGGAAAGTCTGGAGATAGTCTGGCAAACCTTAGTTCGTGCCACTGCGCACACCATCCCTATTCATCGGAAAGCTCCTTGAAAACGGCAGAATCGTTGGGCCGATTCTCCATTTTGGTCTGTTTTTACTTTGTTAATACCGAGTGAGAAAATCTCCCTGAAGTCTGTTTGTTCTATCAAGCTACTGTTGCGCGTTTTTCACGACCTATTGCGTTTGTCCTCATAATATTGGACCATCTCGTATGCAGCAAGTTTTTTTTTTGCCAACTTCTGAAGCTCCTTCCTTTTTTAAACGTTTTTGCGTTTCTCGGCTAACGTTTTGTGGACCCGTCTCGTCGATTTCAGTGGAGCTTGATCGAGATTAAAAATTAACCACCAGCCTTTTCACACCTTACGAACACTTTAGAGACAAACAAGTTCGAATCCTGTGCGTAGTTATAGCCAATAAGCTTATTCTTGTCCCCCAAATTTCACTCCATAAAGTGGTAACTGTTACGTTACTATTATTTTTGTTTAGCAAGATCCTTTGTGCTCGGGCTTGCCACACATTTTGTCATTGTTCAGATTATACCTTCATCTTCCTCTAGAGTGTTTCCTACCGATATGATTATCGTGTGACTATTATTTAGGATTTTACCGAACTTTTAGATAGGTTGAACGCTGCAGAAACCATGGATGACACTCCCTCATGCGGTTTCTTCGAAAAGGCTTTCTTCGTAGCGTTTTTTGGATAAGTGGGCGTTTGATATTTCAATGGAGAAATTTTGTCGAAGCTCTAGTGTTTTTCTATTGAGTCACTATTATTTCTGAGTATCCCGATTCCAAGGAGTCTTAAAATAAGGAGAGCTTGCAGGTGATGCCGGGAGAAGAGGTGCCACATTTTGATGCCCATTTTATGTCTGAAACTGGTCTGATAGATATCTTCTTCTTTGGAGGACCTTCACCGCAAGATGTTCAGAGACAATTATCGCGCATCAGCGGGGTGAGGATTTTTCATAGGAAATATTCACTTTCGTTTGAAAAAGCAGTGCAATTCAGTGTCTATTTCAATAGGATTTCACTGGATTGAAGTCGCTATGTTGCAGGTGACCCTATACCTCCACTCTTCTCTATCGGCTACCATCAGTGTCGCTGGAATTACAACGATGAGCAGGACGTGGCTCAGGCGAGTCAAACTTTTAGAGACTTTTCCAATGCCTAATGGCTTACATTTGGGAAATGTATCGGCATGACACAAATACTTGCTGATTGATCGACGTGTTCAAGGTGAACGAGAACTTCGATGTATACGACATCCCTATGGATGTGATGTGGTTGGATATTGAACACACTGATGGCAAGAAATACTTCACATGGGAACCTCACAAGTTCGCTCATCCAAAGGAAATGATCGATGGGTTAGCTGCTAAGGTGCGTAAGAGAGGAAAACCTTATCTTCTTGCTTGTATACTCAATTGAATGTGAATTCATAATGCTATTTGAATTTCAGGGTCGTAAAATGGTGAACCAGCTATTGATCCACATATAAGAAAGATATAATATCTCCCATTTACGAAAGACGCTAAAGACCTGGGATTGTATGTAAAGAAGCTGATGGCGAAAGTGACTTCGAAGGTCATTGCTGGCCAGGTGCGAGCGCTTACCTGGATTTCCTCAACCCTGAGGTAGTTTTTCAATAATAATGTTCAGCTATCACGAGATGTTGGAAGTTTTTTGTTTTGGTTTGTTCGCAATTTTCATGCATTTCTAGACACGAAAATACTGGGCTGCTCAAATTGCGTTAGATACGGTATGTAGCGTCTACTCGCCCAGCTTCTTTACTTTGGAATGACGAGGACGAGAGCCATCGGTCAGTTTTTCTTTCTCGCTTGCAGCGCGTATATTGATTCGTTGCATGTAAACAAAATACAAATACGATTATATGAGCCTCATGGTCGCATTCAGAGCTCTTCAGCGGCAGAAATAACGATGAAACAAGGGACGCCATTCATATTCGGTGGCATAGAGCAGTGGGAGAGGTAAAGTCAAGATATGTGCTTATTTGGCTACAAACTGTGGTAGGCTATACCATAAAGGGTGCCCCGTGGTAGCGTACTGCTAGGATACTTGCCCGGCCTGTAAGCACAGGCGTACTGAGTCAGGTTCAGCAAAAGCGTTCGCACCGCCACCTGCCTGCTGGCCGAAAGTTGTTATGTCACACTCAGGCATTCCTATGGAATATTTCTTCTCTGATTTCGCAGCTTATTCCATTGATTTGATTGATCAGTCCCGAATTAGCTACACAACATGTGACGGTTTGTCTGCATACACTCGTCAGACTTGCAGAAGTCCAACTCTCACGCCGCACCGCGTGGGAAGGACGTCCTTTCATACTTACTCGGGTATTTTCTTTTATCTAGCAGTTTTGTCGTTTCTTTTATTTGCCCTGTTCTATGGAAGACGGTTTTTTTTTGAAGGGGTTTTATTTTGATAGTTTTTTTTTATCAGAAAACACTGATCTGATAGTTGGATGATGCATCAGCCTAGGCTGATCGTAATTTGAAGACGTTATATTTTCGTCTTACAGATCTGGATTTATTGGAACCCAACGAACTGCAGCGATCTGGACCGGAGACAATACCGCTGAGTGGGGGCATTTAGCGATCGCAGCACCTATGCTACTCTCGTTGTCAGTTTTCTTGGTCGTGGCCATTTCGTTGCGTGAGTATTGCATTCGCTCATCCTTTCTTGAAACTTACCTATCTATTTTTCTAATCAGGTTTATTCAATTTCGTGGAATGTAGGGTCATATAGAATCTTTCAACGTGTCTAATCCTTACAGGAGCTGATGTGGGTGGATTTTTCGGAAATCCCGACGAGCAGCTACTCACCCGTTGGTATGAAGCCGGCGCGTTCCAACCTTTCTTCAGGTATTTTCTTTCTTAATCCTCGTGAGGTGTTTGTTTAATTTGTGTTTTTATTTGTGTTCACGGTATAGAATAGAAATTTAGAGCTCATGCTCACATTGATACGAAAAGGCGTGAGCCTTGGTTGTTCTCAAAGCCAACGCTGGACGCAATCCGTCAAGCTATAAGGCGGCGATACGCCTTGCTTCCGTACTGGTGAGATTTTGTTATTTTTCTTCCAAGGAAACCACTCTTTGTTTTTTTCCAATTTACTCATGTCTTCTATCTTACATAAGAAGCTTTGTGAGAAAGCCGGTCCCCTGATATACTTGATTTTTTAACTTCCTGTGATTGTAACTACTTTTGGACTTGCCTGTAACTCGCTAATCAAATGTTATAACAAGGTCGGCTAGTTGTGCGCACAGTTATCCAGTTTTTGGTGCGAATTACTAATCCAATTGATTACTTCTGAAGTCAGTTAGAATTAACTCATCTACGTTTGAGTATAACTACCGAAAAGTTATAGAATTTAGTAATTTTTATTTATGCTTAAAAACACCAATCAACTCAAGACCTTCACTCATGATTGCAGTAATGCACAAAGATTATTTGGGTTTAGGTATACATTATTCCGGGAGCATTCTCTTAACGGAGCACCGCCTATGCGACCGATTTGGTACGAATTTCCCACAGAAGAGAAATTTTTTGAGGAAGAAAAGGTATGTAAAGGTTGCCGTGGCAGTTTTGAGCGTACATATTTATTGAAGTTTGGCTATAAGCTCTTCGTTCTGCTTTTGTAGGCTTGGATGGTTGGCAATGCCCTGCTTGTTCGTGCCGTTGTTGAGAAAGATACTTTTAATGTCAATGTCGATCTTCCTGCTGGAGAAGACAAGGTTCTTTTTGTGTTTCTCTATTTTCGTTCTTTTACTCATTTCTCAGCGAAAAACCCACGAATTTTGTCTTGCTATAAGTTGCATCTTGTAGAGTACTCGTTGGTATGACTGGGAATCAGGGATGGAAAGACCATCTGGCTCATCGTACGTAGATGCACCCATCGCTCATATTCCGGTGTTCCAACGTGGAGGAACGATCATTCCCACGTGGCAGAGAATAAGACGCGCGGCTAGCCTTATGGTGCAGGTAAGGGCTTTTCGGTAAATTGGTACTGCTGGTCCTTTTTTGGGTCAATGTCAATGATTTTTCCGCAGGATCCACTGACACTATTCATCGCTTTGGATCGCAGTGGTAATGCCAAAGGTCGCGTGTATCTCGATGATGGTGCTACCCATGATTACAAACAAGGGGCATTTGTTTCGGCAGAATTCGCTTATAAGTAGGAAATTTACTGTTTTCTCTCTCGTTATGTAGTACAAATTAATTTGATCGCTTCAATTTAAGTGTGACTTCAACCAACGAAGCTGAGATTAGCGGTCAGCCAGCTGCTGATAGCGGCAAGTACGAGACTGAGACATGGATAGAACGCATAGAAGTACGAGGGCTAGATCGCACGCCTAATAAAGTCTCGGTCAGTATTTCTGAACGTTTTGAGCTTTTTTTCCATTTAAGTTTGTTTCCTCTCTATCTAATTCTGGGCTGTCTCTAACTAGGGCTGTTATTTCATCCATGCGGTTTCATATGTTTACAGTCATCTATAATAGTAGCGGCGGTGCCTAAAATGTGTATTTATGTGTATTGTGAAAATGACTGTTGGGAGCGCTCAATTAACGCCTCAAATTGGAGAAAAAAGAGAAAGAAGAGTTGAGGGAAGACTGTTTTAGGTCTAAGATGTTCGCAGGTGTTTTGGGTTTTGCAGCGGCTCGTTAGAACACTACAATAGTCAGTGCGAGAAAAAATTTGTAGTTGCACCTTACTGGGAAATACAACCGAGATGTCTTTCTGCAGTGCAGTCCGGTTGGAAAAAATCATAATTTGTGCATTGTACCGAATCATATATAGTGCCCACCTTTTTCATTGATTAGATTGGTATTGAGTAGCAAGCATACGCTGTTCACTTGGGCTTAATATCAGTTACTTAGCGAACCTCAGATTTATTGCGATAAGAAAACCCATAGGGAAGTCATCGCTCCATTTGCCTTCCAGTTTTAGCGCGATGGGAGCAGCAGGAACTCCCTGGTTGGTAACTGAACTGACCGCTCGGAAAAACCAGGGAGCATTGAGCATGTGCGAGTACATCTAGAAACCACAAATTAGTACATAGAAATCAAACGTCGGGGAATTGAGAGGAGTTTCTCGACCCAGAAAACGCAGGAGAGAAGAATTTTGACGTTGTGATTTCGACGAATAGTGTGAGATACTGGATAGCGAGGACTGTCGGAACCGGAAGAATCCTAGAGACCTCCTGGAGAACTTACCGTGAACTTTTTATAAAAACAGAATCTAACTACTGACTTCTTACTATATTCCATGGTGTGAGTTTCGGCATTTAATTACTCTGGCAACTTTTCAGATTATTCGATCCTCGGATCCTACGGTCAAACTAGAATTCTCATATGATCGTGACCGAAGACTGCTAACGATTCGGAAGCCTTTGGTGAGCATCAACCAATCGTACAAGATAATCATTTCGTTCTGAAAGTTACTAAGGGGGTACAGGGCTTATGCTCTTTGACATATTTGTGATTCGTTGTTAACTTTAATAACGCTTTGATGTTGTTTTAGGTTGAATATATCGTTGTAGGAAATATTCAGCCCTGTGTCTCCTTGTTTTCTAGCTGATTTTAAATGAATCCCCATGTCACCGTGAGTAATGTGTAGCTTTATGTAATTTCTAGTTATCAAGTAATCTCGGTTTACATCATCACTAAGCACGCATTAATTTAAAGCCCTAACCGATTAATTTATTGCGCAGCATCGGAGCACTTTTTTGAGAAATGATATAAGTATTCATTAAAATTGTTGTCAAGTGGGTTAACTTATGTGTATTACGGTTGTTTTCTATTGATAAATGTTCTTTGTTGATCAGGTTTTGTCGTCACAAAAGAGCTCACAAAATGGTAGACGGCTGGGTTATTCGGGCACTAAATACATTCTCTTCTTATGAAATTTCATAACTATAAGCAGCCGTTTCCCCCTACCACGGGAATGCCACATCTGTGATTGTCCCTAGGGGTCTATCTTAGAACCGAAAGGGAGTCGTTACTACGACTTCTGCCTGGCTTGTTGCCAATTTAAGATAAGAAAACTATTTGTGTGGGCGCTAGGGACCTGATGAGTACATTCGGCAATGTAGGGGAGCGAGTTGGTTGTGGGTATTGGCACATTCACATATTAGTGTAGAAAAGAAGACACATTCAAATATTGCGATTGCGAAAAGAATATGTCCGGAACGCTCAGGTTAAGGGCTCACTCACCTTCCTAATCGGCTGTGCTAAGGCAATGAGAGACTAAGCGCGGAGAGGAGAGTATGAGGCGAGAGAGCGCTACAGATGAGAGAGCGCCAGACAACAGCCTGATAGGAGAAAAAATCTGCAGCTTCAGCAGTTTATTTTACAAGGCCCTAATTTGGAATGTTTAGCGCCAATCTCACTGGAGCGTGAGATTGGCGCTAAACATTCCAAATTTGATTCATCAAGAGGAAAATTTTGAAACAGTCTTAGTATTAAAGCAATGATTACGTGAGCTG